TGTCGCTGCCTGTGTTTCTGTGCAACTGGTACGCCAAAATTTCTGTAATATTTGTCATTTTTTTTCCTATACCTGTAATATGCTTTTACTTCTTCTTTCTGTGCCCATTACACGTTAATGGCAGGGGCGGAGACGGAGAGCTGCTTCATGGCCCGAAGCTCCTGACCGCATTAATCGTAGGGCGCACCAATGACAATGAGACAAAGTTTCTCCGTCTCCGCCCATTCGGTTATTACCGAATGAGCCTTTAAAGCCTTTGAAGGCCAAGTTAGTCAGCGGCAGCAAGGTCCTTTTGCGTGGAAGGCTCATTTACGTTTTTCTAGGTATATCTCAATAAAGCGCTAGATATGTTCAACACATCGATGGTGACGCCAATTTACTACGTGTTTTTTACTACATTTGTAATCTTAGCTTCTTCAATATTGTATAAGGTCAGTTTTCACCTCGACAGTGGTACTTACTTTTGGCAAAATATTCCATAGAGATCAATCGGTATTAAAGTGCGGGAGATCTCAAGCTCATTGAAGGCAGCGCCCGCAATCGCTAGTTGGTGCGATTCGGTTTGGGGGGGGACACCAAATAGTCCTCAGAGAAGCTTCGACGTGTGACTGTATAGTCCTCAGAGAAGCTTCGACGTGTGACTGTGACTACCTGTAAATTCCTGTAACTAAAGTGGCTTACTCGTATCGTTTCGTAGCTTGACAAGTGTTTCCATTTCATTAAAAAGTGGCACCTGTTAGCTAACATGAACTAACTAACAAACATGAACTAGCAAAAGCAATCAGAGAAAGTGCAGAATGTCTCTCACTCCCCCCTCCCTGCTCCCCACCTAAGATGGTGCCACTATTCAAAGGTCATAGGACTGAGAAAAATCAGAAATTGAAAAAGAAATGAAATTAGTTCACGGTGCAGAGACTGATTGGGTGTGTAGAAAAAGGGAGCAGACGGTAGTACGGTAAGAAAATATAGAAATGATCGAGACGCTACCACTGTGTAGGTATGGTAAAACGAAATTTTAAAGGAGGGGCGAGGAGGCGGAGCTAGCTAGTCGTCGCTGAGCAATGACGCTGATCGTCTCCCTAAAGGCCATTGGACGCTTTTTTAGCACTTTGGCGTCGTGAATGTCGGCAGCAGCACATGCCCACTCCATTTTGTCGTAGTAAGCTCTTCTGTAAGCTTCCACAGCGTCGCGGTTAGTCGCCGAAAGACAGTTTTTGAGTTGTGAACATCCTCTATGATTCCCTGAGAACACTTAGTTTACTTCAACATGAAATCAGTCTATTTGAACGTGAAATCGTGGAATTTTGTTCAAAATGAGTTCGGTAATATTTCTGGATACAATGGTAACTCCGCCGATATATTTCAGGAGTGGTCTTGTCTTGGTGCCTCAGATATACTAGGAAACGTTATTGGTTTCTTAACGACAATTATTGGTATATTCCAGGTGAGCTAGTTGCTACAGTTGATTGATTGAACTCGCAATCGTCCCCTTCTTACCCAAGTACTATAGCCTGTGCTGTTCCTAAACTTTCACTTACTCATTCTACCCTTCCTCATTCTTATTCTTAACCGTGCGGTGGCAGACGTTACATATTAGTTTTGGCGGCGCGGCCGAAGCGGCGACCGCAAGCAAGCAGTCATGTCGCCTGCACCCAGTCGACCTTAGGCATTCCGCGACCACAGCTTCATAGACTACACATGGCTTCAAAAATTACTGCCGTGTGTTTGTTGATTTACTGAAGGAGAAAGAAAACACGAGGGGAAAGCGAGCCCGAATAAGACTTCATTGCCCATTAATGCATGATCACGCGACGAGCCGATAAGGTGCGTCAAGATCAATTCCGTGAATTGCGAAATGTGCGATATAGCACTGCATACAGAGACGAGCCAGAAAATGACGGGCAGATGAGAGCGCAATGGCAAGTCTCACAGACGACACAGTCAGCGAGACCGGCAATGGGCGTATCAGGAGCGCATGGCTAAAATTGAGCGTCCTGCGTTTTGCTTGCTGTTTTCAACTTTTAAAAGCAGCATAGCCTCTGACGTTGCCTGCTTGACCATCGTGCACGGTTATGAGAACCTAGCCTTAGTTTATCGCGGAACGTGCCTTTAAGCCACGCTTCGCGTTCATCTGATGCTCGGACACCTTTTCTCGGCATGGCAGTCCTGTTCGCAAGCAGGATGTTTTGCTTTCGTATCTTAAAAGTAGTCCATGAGGGAAAGCGTTACCCGCTCGCGATCAGGCCACCGCCCCGCCCACTGGCCACCCACACTTGCGATGACCGAATAAGTGTTAAGTAATAGCCACGACGCCTCCTATGGTGAAAAGGGATTGGAAAGACGTTTGCATGTAGAGTTCATACGAGTTTCGTTGCGCCAATCAACAAACTAATGCACATGGTGAATTTACCGCGCATCGCCGCACGGCACGCCGCGCGCGGCGACGCGACAGGTTGCGATTGTCTTGGCCGTCTTCCAGTATATGTCCTTGAGTTCAACAAGATTTAGAAGTTAAAGATTGATAAAAGATTCAGTATATTTTGCAGATGCAGCTGTTCCGTGATGTGAACATCAGTTTACGTCAAGTACGTGTACTGCTTCATCGGCCGTCAGCATCTTTGGCCAGTCTTGATCTCTCATCGAATTCCGCCACGAACCTCGTCGACGACTTCAACATCGTTTCATCATCGACGTCAAATGGTTCCGTCCGACATCCAACATATACGTGACGAAACCATTGACAACTTGGTGACAAACTAGAGCCGCACTCTTTAGCTGTGCACGTTTTTAGTTCGCAGCACTTTTAAAAATGTTGCCAACAGCCAAACTAAACGCTACCAAACTTTGTAAAGTGCTGAATATTTTCTACTTTTTCTTCTGTTCTTTCTTTCTCTCTTCGTTCCCATTGTTTGTGATCTGTTGGCATCAAAAGATTTTGTGACTATTGAGGGTCACTTGTCTTAATTTTTGTTTATAAATTTAGTAGTACTTGTCTAACTTTTACTAGAGCTCTCAGTCCTATTCGCTCAATCACTCTGCGGTTTCTTTTCTTTTCTCGTCAGACGCTCTTCAGAGCGGCCATACTCAGCGATGTAGCGAAATAGTGTTCGCGTGGTAGAGAGGGAGGATGGTGAGGGTGCGTGTGCGTCTCTGCCGCTCTCTGACTGTCTTCCGCCTCTTCACTTGGAACAGTATTTCCCCAGTCGATGAGTATGACCGCAGCCAAAAGCTTCGCCTCAATGACGACAGATATCTTAGAGCTCTTTCCTGACGGCGGTATCGAGCAGTATTTCAAAAATACTGTTCAATGCCAGCTGCTCGTTTGAGACCGGTTTGTGACGTTGTTTATTATGCGCTTTATTCTTTATTATTACTACTAACAATTGTATCGAAGCAACAGAAGCAGCAGCAGGTTTTGTTGTGATTGTTTTTGTGATTAATTTGATGCCACTAGAGATAGTTGAGCCAGGATGACCCTCTCGAAAGTCGTCCAAGGTCCTCCATAATTGTCCTACTTCCCAGTGTCAGCACATATGTCGTTTTCCGTCATCATCATTGAAATGCGTGTATGTTGCTATTGTATATAGCGAGAGAAAGCTGAATGAAGAGATATCCACTGACGAAGGTCTTGAACAGAATGTTGTTGGTTACGGTAGCGTTTACCGTAGTCTTTTTAAGAAGTCATGGCTATTGGTTTATCATTCGAACCGTGGATTTTCTTCTTCGTCGGCACATCCGCACAGGGTCCCGTGACTGGGTTAGGCGTCTAACATGGGGAAGGGGATTGAAGGGGTCAGGAGATCCGTGTTACGAAGACTCGCGAAATTGTCTCGGTGCGTGCGGCCAGTCGCACCTGCTTGTTACTTGGCTCTGATATGTATGTTAATGATGAAATTTAGGCGTCGGTTCTGGGATTAGCATTAATTTAGCACCCTTTCATTTCCGTTCGCTCTGACGCCTTGTCCTGTGGTCTTCCCTATCCTGTTCCATACAATCGTATTTTATCCTCCCGCGTAACCCTACTAGGCCTCATCCTGTTCCGCTTACCGTAATCTGACCTTACGTCCCTACCTTATTTCCCCCACCCACTTACAAGTTTACAACAGTTCCATCACAATTCATGCCCCCTTTCCCAGGAAAAATTAAGCCGTCTCTATTAATTAGTCATGACACAATTTTTCCAATGCTGGTAGAATATTGAGGCCGAGGTGATGTAGGGGCAGGTAACCGCTTATGTGACGCACACGGAGGGGGTGAAATACCTGGTCAGCTTCGATACGTTTATTGGAAGAATATCGGATATGGTAAGAATGCTTTATAGCAGTGGTTACAGTGAGGACTTCATTATAGCTAGTATAGTGAGGAGTATTTATAGAAATAAACTTATATGTTACAAATACTCTATTACGAATGATTACGGTAGCATAAGCAGATTAGTCCGAGGTATTCTCAGTGGCTTTTTCGTTTAAATTGGTGTCTATGTAACACATTTTTTACCTGCATGTGTCGTGTAGTATTTTCGGATATTATAATGTAACATCAACTGATAGTTTTTCGTAATTACGACGTCCTACTCACGTTATCCAATCAATTAGCATTCTTAAACCTCTCAGTCTTTATCGTTTTCAACTTTATACCTTATAAACTTGCTGCAATTGATTTTTCTTCCTTTCCTTACTGAAGAGCACGGAAGGAGGAATATGCTTTTGCTCGGCTTCCGTCTAAGGGCACGTGCGAAACGGAAGCTGAGCTATCTCTTTGCTTTCGACCCTCAATAATTCTCATTTATTAGATTTTACAACATAGTTCATTAATCTGTTTCAAAGATTTTATTTGTCTGAGAGGATAAGAAAACTGACTTGTACATGGGGGGGGGCCTCGCAGGTCATTGTATAGGCCATATTGCACTCAATAAGCTACAGGATTCTGAATGGTACTAGAATGCGTAGTGCATCCCAAGAAGGGGCGATCGATGGCGAAAGCTTTCTCCTTTCATTTTTTGATAAAGAGAGAGAGAGAGAGACATCCCTTTAGGGTTGCCTTCGACATTTTTAGTTTTTACCAAGGTTTCAAACAACTTTGGACCTCTCCAGGTCGTTACTGCACATCGCCTATTTCAAGCCTGTCGATCTATAAGCTGTCATAGCATCGCTACAGTTTTTGCAAGGAAGGGACCCTTTCACCAGAGAGGACCATGGAGTGGGCCAGGAATATCGTCCTTCGAGGTGTAGGAAACAGAATTATACAGTCATAATCGTTGCTCGGACGGATCAGGGGGCTGAGTTTGGCGCAGCGCCAGCACGTTTTGCTCCAATTGTTATCGCTTTTCTCTTTTTAACATTGACAGTAGTACGGGCTGGCGCCGCTTTGCAGCGGAGAGGAAGCTACATTGTTTCTGCTACCCCAACAGACTACAGCTCGTTAAGACAGGAAAGTTTTTAAGGAAACTGGTACTGGTGTCAGAAAAATAGTTGTAGGAAGTTGGAAAATTTCAGGAAGATGTTAAGTAGAATAGGGAAGGCGGGCCGTACCAAATGATTCGGTGGAGGGGGAGGGAGGTGTGTAAGTATTCACATGGCCATTTCACACATCACGATGCTGCAGCCTGTATCCTCCGCAATTTTTGAGTGCTGTTCGGCTTAGGTGGTTTATGGGAGGTAGCGAAAGTGCAAAATGCCCCCCCCTGCCAATATACGCCAATTTTTCTTTTGTTATGGGATTCAAATGAATATGAACTTGGTGAACACATTGTCCATGAAATCTGCTCAGTGTGCTA